TTATTTATTATGGTGATAAATTTTCCATAGACGGTTAACTGTAACAAAATATGTTAAAAGTCCGATCGGCCTTTTTCCCTTGGCAGCACTCATATGTAAGTATAGGGGTAAAATGAACACACCCACGTTAAACTCTCTAAATAGTTTTTTTTTTAATGATATAAAGGTGGCTTTGATCATACTTTCTTAATACTTTTTCTTAGAATTTAATCTCGCTGTTACATGTATTCGTTATTGTGTGTTCGGCTTTTGTGATTGTCTACTTATCGTTATGACATTAATTATTATTCGGCCGATAAGCCTCATGTGTTATAATTTATACATTTTCGCAGCCACACTTTTTTGTAGCATCTTAACTAGGGATGGATCGGTCTTTGTGAAGGCCGAGACCGGACGGAAGACCGAATGATTCTCGATCCTTGGTCCGTAATCGTCCGATCCTGATCTTGATACGGTCTGATGACAAATTATGCTTACTTATAACGATAAAAAAAATAAAAAATTCATAAATCTCTCTAATCCAGTAATAATGAGCGATAACTAAGCTTAATCACAGAAGATTATTTAATATACAAGTCACCAATGTAGCTTCGGGAAAGCATTCTCACTATTTTGAAGAAATACAAGGTCAATTCTATGTTTAAAAGTTGGCTTCAAAGGGATTTTGCAAAATAGATAAACATTTATGCATCTTATCTATTATTAAATTTACATTGCATATAAAATAATGTAAATTCATATATTATCCATCCCTAGTCTTGGCTCTTCTAATCATAGGATTTATGATGCTTTATCATTTTGGATCATGAAAGCACAGCTGATCCTCCTCCCTAGGGCATATCTGATTTAAAACCGACTATTATAGTATATAGAAAAAAACGCCTCTATAAAACTATGAACCTGATGATGTAATTATCTGTTATAGAGAGATTAGACTGTACATTCATTATTAATTAAACTATGAACCATTTAAAAATCATTACTTTCGAAAAAGAAATCCTTCGGTAATGTCCTCGATAAGTAATGTAGTACTAATATAGGAGGTAGAAAAAGTCAATTTAACTTAATATTATTTAAGGATGTTTAATAATCTTTACACATAGATAAATAATAATTTGATACAGTACAATCACGTGCTAAATCTTATATAATCCGCAGCTCTACACAAAATATTAAAAAATATGCGATTCGTTATCCAGTTGCACATTTGGCGTTAAACTTAAACTTACGGATATCTATAAATTCGGTTTTATTTATTTACACAATTTTGCAATAAATTTTGGTTAAAAATTAATCCTATAAATTAATAAACATAATCCGTGGTCTTTAAACCAATCTAATCTATAAAAAGTGTATATAAAAGGTTGTATGATAAATATATTTTTTTAAAATCAAAAGCATTTAATTCTTCGCTTTTACCGTATATGCTTTTACCGTATATTTTTTACAGTAAAAAAAATTAGTTAGCGCCATGCATATTTTCGTCGAATCACGTACGTACGTACATACGAACTAATTACATTTGTTAATTTTTTGAAAAAAGAAAAAAAATTGGGCGTTCTGATACATTAATAAATCTCAAAGAGCTTTTATCGAATGTCTTGGCATGGGTGATGAAAGAAAATTGTGATCATTTCTATTTTTTAATTAGAACTTCAGATAATCTAATAAGGTTGTTTTTTAAAAGCAGATAAAAGTTTTTTTTAGCAAGATGTTATCTAATTTTAACTTATTTTTTTTAAATAAAATTTATTAAAGTTGTTTAAGGAATAGATTCGTTAAGGGATAATTTAAAAGAAATGATTAGGAAGCCCCAACTTTTTTTTTTATATATTAAATTAATAGAGAAAATCCTTTAAGCGCACGTCCAAAAAAGTTTGATTTCAAATTAGCCTGATCGACTCAAACAAATCCTTAAATTGTATATGAAATTCGGATAAAAAAACTCCATTTATTTTAGACATTAAATACATATTTGCCCGTAAGGTTATTGTTTTAAGCAGATCAACGAATCCGTGGCGTATCTGACGATATAAAAATAAGGTTAGATTAGAAAATAGAGCAGATGTAACTTGCAAAATTGAAAAAAATTGAACGTAAAGTTTCATCAGTTTCTATTTAAGGTTTTATTGAGGGTAATACATGTAAATGTACATAAGTAGGTACAGTACATTACGAAGATCTGATATTCCGTAAATCTCGCGGAATTCGTCCGAAAAATTAGAATTTATTTGGCGTAATGTTAATAATGTTAACGTTAATAAATACACGATTATTTATAAATTATATATATTTTAAACTACTGTAAATGTATAAAAAAAATTACATACCAGATACGTATAGTACATACGTACAGTACGTATGTACTATGTGTAATGTAAGTAAGTCTGTCTGTAAGTAGGGGAAAAGGTGATCCGAGCACCCCAGGCAATGTCAAAAAAATATAACACATCATAATGCATAAGTTTAATGTTTGTAATATAATATAATTACACATACTTTACACACCAAATATTTAATTAAAATACGGAGAATTCAATATATATGCCGAATGATAAATAAAAATATTACCGCGTGATCTTATCCTTAAATACGCGAGAAATTTTACCCTATCGTTTTACCGTTGACGATGTTACAAATAATAAGGTTCGTTTTGAAAATTAGTATGAAATAGATGACGAATAAATGAGAAAATCTTATAATTGCAGTAATTATATAAAGAATTAAAAAAAGTGTAAAGTCAAGAAGTGTTAATAATAACTATAATAACGTTATAATAATATTATAACGATAATACATACTTTTACGTATAAAGTATTTAAAGTCTTGTTTTAGAAGTTAAGAAATTACGCGCCATAAAACTATGTTAAATTAAGATTTGTTTCGCACGTACAGAATAACTTAATTCTTTTAGTACGATTATTTGTGTTACAATACTAACTTTTAAAATCTTAATCAAAATTTTTGAACCAATAATACGTATTAAAAAATTTATTAACATAAATGATTGGTTCTTGAACTGTGAGATGATTTTACCCCTTTAAACGGCAAAGATATGCATCTTTATTTATGAATGGGTCTGAATTTCATATTCGGAATATATAGTTAGTATATATAAAAAAATGAATTCCTAACTTAACAGTTAACTGTTAACTAACTGTTAACTGTTAACTGTTAACAGTTGTAAAACTACTTACGTGCATACTTACTTGTGTATCTTAAAGCACCATAAAATTTACCATAATTTAAATAAAATAAAAAAAGAATAAAAATAAAGAAAATAAAAAAAATAAAGAAAAAAAATAAAAATAAAAATTAGATTCTTAGTTTCTGAGTTTCGGGATTTACATCGCTCACGCGTCATTAATCGAATCGTTTAATTCAAATTTAAATTAGCACATCTTCACCACAAATAAAGGTTACAAAGAAAATGAACAAAGAATTTACAGTATGGTAACACAGATTTATACGTATATCCTGAATATCTTAGATTTTGATCTTTTTTTTTATTTTATAGACAAACTAAGTTACGTTAGTAGATCTATAAACAAAAAGTTTTTCTTTTATATAAAAATAAATTTATGCACTACGAGAGATCAAGAATATTGAAACAGTGGAGAAAGAAGGTAAATCATGTTAGAAAATGTTAGAAAAATGTTATGTATGTTAGATATGTTAGATGTGTTAGATATGTTAGATATGTTAGATATGTTGTTAAGTTTGATGTGAGTACAAAAAATGTAAAAAAATTTGATTGGATATATACATCGTAAACATAGGCAGCACATAGGCTTTAGAAAATAGATCGCATGATCAAACACTCCTTGAACTCTATTATTTAATTTAAAACAAACGTGGTGATATGTGCATATGTGATCTACGTATAGAACAAAAAAAAGAACAATGACTCCTGAAACAAAATCAAACACAAATGTACAAAGTACTATATTCATCAATGTATATTTAAAAATGGTACGTTTCTCGAAACCCTTATCGGTAATGCAACAGGATTTCCTTTGTCTATCTTTGTTCTAAAATTTTATGAAAAAAAAGAACTCAATTTTTTACTTTAATAATTATGGAATTTTTTCAATACGTACAGTATTCGTAGCTAATTCGTAGCGTGGAAGTTTTATAAATTTGTTAAACATGAAATTTTCTTTTTCAAAATGAGTAAATCAATTTGTGAATCTTTGCATGAATGAAAAAAAGTGCAGTATTGCAGTAGTGCAGCGCAGTACTAAAAAAAAATTTTTTTTTATCATTATTTTCTAGAAATCAAAGATGGGTAAAAATTCGGGCACTACCGTGAACTTATTAACTATAACTAACTATAACTAATACAAAAAATTTTTGACAGTTTTTTTTTGTATCTATTTTTGGTCATCTAAAACAAAGAAAAAAACCGGTACTGCATATAACTCGGCCGTTATCCTGTTTATACCTTGTTAGTATCTTGTTAATATCTTGTTAGCACGAATACATATACGAGTTTAAAACAATATCAATATTATTCGTATTAAAAACATATCACTATTTAGAAATTTGATCTAAGCCTCCGGTTATAATGCGTCATAATATTTTATTGTAAAATAAACGTATTAGCGTTAATATTACTGTTAGTTAGTATTACTGTTATATACTGTTTTATATACTGTTACGTATATACTGTAGTATTAACTGTATTAACGATATCCTTATTGTTATCGTTATTATTCTGTTATTATTAAAATTAATATTAAAGTATATTATACTGTATTAGAGCAAATTAAAATGTATTAACAAAATCAAGTTAGTTCAGTATTATATACACTGTTTTATGCGTAGTAGCTCTGTATTTTATTCACTGTATTATGCGTAGTCGCGTTTTACGATCGACCATCCATACCATAACGTGTTTTCGCGTTATTACTTCGATGAGATATAAAAAAAATTATTATCGTTATTATTTAAATTATTATTTAACTTTTTTATTTTTTTTTTATTTTTTTTTATTGGAGTTAAAAAACATTCTTTTTCTAGTAATAATTTAAAGTATGCACTGAAAAAATTATAATAAGAGAAATAATAATAATGAATCGAATATTAGATATATACAGAAAAAATTCAAAATATCTATTCATTAAGAATAAATGTCCAACGAGAAAAATGTAGTAAACGTGCAAGCGAACGTTTTAGCAAATTAAAGCAAAAACGTTACAAACAAAAAATTAAAAAAATGGTTTATAACAAAATGTAAAAAAAAGCAAGAATGTTTTAAAAAGAAAATGCGTAAATGTTCCCTTCAATCATCATCATCAATAATAATAATAATAATAATGTGTGCAAATGAGTAAAATTGAAACGGTGCTGTTTATAAACATGAAAAAGGTTTTTTTAGGTGCAATGCCTATTTATTATTATATACAAAAGATAAAAAAAAAAACCTATTTTCTAAATAACTCTCAATCAATCAATTAATCTTAATCAACCAACTAATCGACTAAAATCAACTAATCAACCAAGTAACAACCAATTAATCAATTAAATAATTAATCAATAATCAATAATAAATAATCAATAATAAATCAACTCGACTCAATAGATTCAATAGAATCAATAGAATCAAAAGCATTAACTTTTTTTGGAAGCATAGATTGATAAGTTTCCGAAAAATTAGTTGGTAATCGACCATAAGTTTGATATAATGAACTCTTAAGTCTACAATGAGAAAAGACAAGATAGTCATAATTAGCAAAAAATTCTTCAGGTAATTGCCATGAATCAGGATCTAAAGGATCTCCATGGCATATTGATTTTGTAATTAATAATTCAATTAAATCATAAAGATCAAAATTATCTTGATATTGAATCATTCTTGAACGTAAATGAAGACATGGAATTAAATCAATTCTTCTATCATGTGGTAATGATAAATAATAAATTTGTGAATTGGTGAGTGGATATTTTAATTTTGGATTAACAGGTGTATTATAAATATCCGTAATTCCTACTAATTTTCCTAATCGTACCGCTTGATCAAGTTCTTTAAATAAATCACTCGATATTTCGGATTTTGTAAGGACGATATTATTTAGGTTGAAATCGGAATAAATATCTTTCGTTCCACCAACGTTGGAAGATGAGAATAAATCAATATTCTCATTAAATATACAATCGGTAAGTGAATCAGAGTTCTGAGCAACAAGATCAGAAGTAGTTGAAAATGAGTCATTGTTTATCAAGACATCATTAGATTTTGGTAGAATTGAAAGTTCCGAACCATCTATAAAAGAATTTTCATGTGTATTTGGTATATTTGGTATGGTTGTTGTTGCGTTTGGTATTATTGTTGGTTCAAAGTTTTGAATAAAATTATCATTCAAACTTGAAACAGGTGAGGTAGGCGGACTCTTCGTTACAGAAGATCCAGGTGATAAAGTGATAGTACTATTTGGCGGTGATAGAAAAGAAGTTACTCCGCATAGATTATTATTATTCATTGATTGAAAAGATTGTAAAGGTCTACCCATTTCAGCAGGAGTTGAAACCTGATTTTCCAATAAAGGAACCATAGAGGTTGTTGTTAAAGAAGGAGAGAGAGATTGAATACGAGATAGTATAGTACTTTTAATTTTTGCGGTAGTTTCTGTACCTCCACAGAAATGATTTAAGACCATTTCAAAGTTAACGGAAACTTGTTTCCAATAAAGATTTTCACTTCTAAGACGTTCGATCAACGAACGTAATTGTTGACTTTCACGATAAGTTTTAACAGCAGATTCGTATTGACTTTCTCTTAATGATTTAATAGTATTTTCAAGATCTTTTAAATGACGTTCTTTTCTTTCTCTGAAAGCACGTTGAGCAGCACGATTTTGTTCTTTACGTAAAGCAGGAGAAGCAGGATTAGGTTTACGACCAGGTTTCTTTCTTTGAGGAGGAGCAGGTTGTTGAGTTTCTTGGTCTTGGTCTTCTTTATTAGAAGTTAAATCATCTAAATTATCTGTATCTTCTTTATCAAAATCAAAATTATTAAAATTGTCAAGACCAAACGATTCTTCAAGACCATCAACATCAAATGATGATGATAAATATTGTTCATTTGATGAACAATTTCGTTTTAAATTCTTTTGATTTTCTTGACGAATGTCATGACCGGTTAAGTCGCTATATTTTCTTTTCAACATTTCTTCATTATCAGCCATTTTCTTCCAAAGGTTATTATTAGTTTAAAGGTTTAAAATAAAAGGTGGTTTTTTTTTTTTGTACAAGTATTTAAATAACTTTTACAAGCTTTGCAAGCTTTTCACAGCGATAAAAAAATTTATATTTTTGATATTGGTTTTAATTTATTAAAAAATTAACGTAGTGAATTTTTTTTAAAAAAAAATTTTGAAACCTCAGAAATGGAGAACAGGTTTAATATATATAGTTTTTTAAAAAAATGAAAAAAAAAATCATGGAATCACGATAATGCAGTAATGGGTTAATATTTAACCCATCCGATCTTTAAGGATAAATATATTATCTGTTATTGTATTGTGAGACATACGTACATATATATGTTTATTTAATATTAATATATATATATTATATATATATATATATTATTATATACAATAGTTACTACTTTATACAGTACTATGTATGTATATATAACCTATATGTGTATACAGTAGCATATGTTAATAATAACGTACGTGCGTTATATATACACGGCTGGTTAAAATAATATAGTTCCGAAATTTTTATGTTTTACACAAATTTGTACATAATGAAATTGAATGGAGTTGTAAATAACTATATAAGTTATAATTTAAATAATTTCAAACTAAGTACAGAATTGCAGAATTTGCAGTATTTGCAGAATTTGTAGAATTTTGTAGAATTTTGAATTGAAAATTGATAAATTTTTTATACAAGCTTTTTTTCAAAATTTTTTTAAAAAATAAAGATTAACAATGTCAAAGGTTCTTTAACGTTTAACGTTTAAACGTTAACGTTAATCAAATGACGTACGTACGTAAAAAAATTATCATTGCCTATTCCTATTTTAACTCAATGAGATTCTAACTTTGTTATATCACATTTTTTTTTAATCGGCAGACTCCTTCGACCTACGGATTGACATCCCGGTTTAGACAAAGCTCCGAAAATGAATACAAATGATAGTAATTGAAGTGTAGTGTAGTGTAATGAAAGTGTAATTGAGTCAATTTGAATGTAATTAAATATAATCGAGTGTAATTGAGTGTAATTGAGTTAATGAGTGTAATTGAGTGTAATTATAGGGTTTACTATAATTCATGTTTATTCATGTTATACATAACTTTGTTTTAAAAAATTCTTTGTTCCTATAATACATATTAAACGTGCTACTAGACTATTAATCTATTAGTTCTATTAGTTTTATTAGTTTTATTATTTTTATTAGTGTTATTAGTGTGTGTTAATCAATGCATTAATCCGGTTTGTGATGTTAAGTTATTTAGTACAGAAGTGGGATGATCTGAGTATCATTTGTCTGAAAAATGCAATCAATCCGCCATCAATACATTAAACTCCAATTAAAAAATTGTTTCGAATTTTCTTTCAACCGATTTTAACTGTTTCAGTTAAATTCAGTTAAATTAGTCTTTTTTTTTCATTTAAGCATATGAGCTCATTAAGGTACGTTAACATGAACTCCTTTCGAAAACTTTCCATTCAAGTAATATTTTTGAACATTTAATTTATCATGATAAACAAACAAATTTAGACAAAGAAAATTTCTACTGTATAATATATTTTTTTGTGTGTAAATTTTCTACCATGTTGCCAGGTTTTTCCGAAAATAGTGAAAATAGTCAAAAAACCTGAAAATTTTAATATTACAAAAAAAAACATTAACATGTGATTTACGTTATATTTTTTAACATTAACAGTTAACGAAAAAAATATTTCTTGAACATTAATTAATTAAATTTAATTACGTGTAAATTATTATTTTTTATTAGTCTTATACAGTATAATAAAAGTAATTGCTATATTAGAAAACGAAATTTTTAATGTTGCGCAATGCTTGAAAAATATTGTCTCAATCTCAATACCAATCTCAATACATTCTCAATAGAAGTGCTAAAATGTTATTAACGTTCGCTATAAATAAATATTTACAACTCTTATAACAAACAGCTCTTACCGTTACAAATATTTGCCGATTATCATCATTTCGGTAATAAGTTAAAATTAGTTTAGTTAAAACTTTCTTCTTTTTACATCTGTTTATTTTCGGTATATACCGCTTAGTTAGTATATCCGCAGGTTATCAGATCTACCTAGTTGATACAGTATTGACCGATTGCTAAAAATTAACTAAAAATAAACTTTTCTACGATTAAAAAAATGAAGGGTTTTCTTTAAAGATCGTCAACGTCAATTCTAATTCTAATTCTAATTCATTATCTCATCTATTTTACGTCAATGTTTGAAAAGCTTTAGAAACGAGTTTTTTTACCCTGATCACCCGTCGATTACAAATAAATGATTCTCGATAAGTTTCATTCAGAATGAAAAAGACCCACAACCTTCTTTTTTTTTAAAAAAAATGATAGCCATCGAAATCATCACGATGTAAACTAAAAATATCAAAAAACAAACACAAGATTAAAATAAAATGAATGAATATTTGTGCATAGAATGATTAGTACCATATGTACATCTTATCATAAATATAGGAGAACGTCGAAACCTCAATGGTTTAAAGAAATTATTCTTTATTATTATCTTACGTATAGAGAGAGAGAGAAAACGTGCATAAAAAGATACAAAAACACAAGATATTCGTTAATTACCGAAAATTAACCAAATATCGATGTTTTTAATAGTATGCAGAATCGAATAAGGCAACCTAGCTGATAATGCAAATGAATTCTCGTAATACGTGAAAACTGCCATGAATGCGCCATGTGCCAAATAACATGAGATACAAACATAAGTCATAAAAAAAATAAATAAATAAAATATATATATATATATATATATATATATATATATATATATATATATATATATTTTTTTTTTTTTTTTTTTTTTTTTTTTTTTTTTTTGTGACCCTAAAATATGCACTACATGCATTACTTTTTTTTAATTTCTCATGACAAGCTCATCTGACCTATTGATTAAACTAAATGAAATAGGACAAAGAAATATTTTGTATAAATGGTTTCATGTGACATAAATAATGACAATCATCGGGTTTTCCTCTTGAAGGAATCATCTATGACGAAATGTTCCCTAATAAGATGATCTAATATATACGTACAAATCATCCATCCATTAAATCTGTATCGAAACGTACGTACCTGGTATGCACGTAACATACCTACGTACGTAGGTACGTACGTGAAAGTAGGATATTTTTTGGACATATATTTGGTTATATTTTTGGATATACCTGTTGCTAACGTATGTACGTACGTACGTACGTATACACTACTAATGCTAAGTATATAACAAATAAATTCCCTTTTCCATAATTTCATACGGAAAGAGAATATGATATTCCTCATATTTACATTAATTTTCCAATGTAAGGACAATGGGGGGGATGAGGATCAGTTGATCACTTTTTTATTTTTAAATTTTTAAATGCGGAGAATGCATAGATTTTTACAATATATAAATTACTTTAAAAATTATAAAATTCCGAACTTTAAATTTGTCACCAAAAGGTTTTCAAAACAATAATAATAAATCCTCGTGATGATAATAAAAAAGTTTTTTTTTAATCTATGCAGTGTAAAAAGTACAACACTAACTTTCTTCTTGCGTACGTACGTACGTACGTACGTACAGTACGTATAAACTTTCGATAAAAAATATATAAACTTTTATACATATACGGAATCATCCCCGTTCTAATTATCATTCTAATCCCTTGAAATTTATTAGATTATTAGATAATAATAAATCGGAATATGTTTACCCGCTAATCGCTTACGTAGTTCACAAAAATACTGCGCTCGGAGAATAGACTCCACCTATCATAACTATATATATCCATATCCTCATGATTATTATGATTATTATAACAAAAAAGGAAATCATAAAACTTTCCTTATTTGAATCCACTACGTATACTTGGCAATTAATTGTATGAAATAAAGTACTGAAAATAAAAATTTATTATACACTTATATATATATATATATATATATATATACTTATATACTATAATATATATCTACTAAGACAGAAAAGATATTCTCTTATCTACGGTAATTGCCACTATTTACATTACTAGATCTACAAGTATTTACTAGTTTATTATACTAATTATGGTTTATCTGATGCTTTTCGGGAAAATTAATTAAGCGATTCACTGTTATTGTAACAATAAGCCCTTGGTCATACGGAAATATTCTAAAATGACTCATCGGAATTTTTTTTTTCTTGAATTTATTTATATATTGTTACAAGTATGTAGTCAGACGTCTTAAAAAGTATCTATCTACATACATATGTACTTATAAAGTATACGTATCGGGTATGTACCGTATGTTACCTTATTATTTAGGCCCTCGTGTAAATGTTCCATGAAAAAAAAATATTAAAAAAAATAAACTTATGATGACATTTTGCAGATTTTAATCAACTGTGTGTTATATAGTAGGTTATACAATCCGCTATATACTATGTTATACAACTTACTTTTGTTGTATAGTCTGTTATAGTTTGAGCCACTAGAATTTCCTGGAATATTTTTGTTTGTATTTTTTTAATACGAATGATGTTGAATTTGATCGATTTCTTTTTTATGATTTCCTTTTAAGAATTGGCTCTATCTTTTAAAGATAAAAATAAGCCATTTATTATAATCCAATCATTTTTTTGAATTTTATTCTTGTGTGACTTTAACCTTCTAAAAACCTATCGTTGCATCCGGTATTATATGTATTAAAATTTTTTAGTTTCAAACACGTTACTTTTAGTTAAAATTTAGTTGAAATTTAGTTAAAATGCCAAAAATCAATCAGGTTACAAGATATCCATATAAACATGCATACAATATCTGTTATCTTGATGTTTGTGTACTATCATTTACACTTGACTCAGAAATTTTATTCCGATAAAATACTTTCTATATAGCTTTTCATATTTACTCATTCATTAAATGTAAATTAATTATCGTCACTTTATGAAAATAGTGTATACGTACAATTTGTTTATGTCATGTGTGTGTTTAAAAAAAATTTATTTTATTTTTTTTATGAATCAATCTCGTTATTCAAAACAAACCGGAGTAAAGTTCCATTACCGAACGCTTTTCTTATCTATATAATGATATAGTATAATTTACGCGATACAGTAGTTGTATAATAGTATATAATAGTAAATAATAGTATATAATAGTTATATAATATTATATAATAGTGTTATAATAGTTATATAATAGTAATATAATAGTGTGATATAGTACAATAACAATGAATGGTTCATATACGTCTCAATTTCATAGTATCAAAAAAAAAACACCATTGTACATATGCAACAGCGATCAAAGGGGAAGAAACACGCTTTCTATGATGTCCCATAGATCTTAATCCAATACCAAAGCTAGAAAACAATAAATCCAATTAATTTGTTTTTAAAAAGAGAAATAGCCAATTAACATCTTTTTTTTAATGCGCCTGTATTATGATGGGAAACGTAATGTACGTACGTACATACGTACGGTACGTAAAGGAAAGGGTACAAATTAGGACAACAGGTCATTTACCCAATCTCCAAAGATTTTTACATTTATTGTTTGTGTTATAAAAAAATTTATTTTGACTTCGGCCGAGAATATTTCCAATTTAGGAACAATAAAGTTTATTTGACTTCGGGAAACTCCGTAAATTTATTTATTTTTTTAACTTGTAATTTATGCGATAAATTGTCGATCATTACTTGATCATTGCTTGATCAAATTATCTGTTATCATTACAGTACTATATTATTTTCATAAATTTCATAAATTTTCATACAACATTTATCGTTATTACAGTATAATATACACGTATATATTTTAAGTTCAATCCGCATCATTTGTCAAATAACAATCGTAGTACCTTTTTCCGAATGTTGTATAAACATTTCTTCGAATGTACAAGTCTAAATATCACGTGAAAAAGACGCGAACTATAAAAAAATATCATTCATTAATTTTGTTACAGTAAAATTACTATTTAATTATAAAGTTATTGAAAAATTATTCGTTTTTCACATGTGATTAAAAAATCTTGATAGGTCAGTAAAAATAGTATATGAGTCACCACACCAATAAAAATGTTTGGATTTTTTTTTTTGCCAATAGTGTGTTTATTATCAGTTATTATTATTCAATGAATTACTCAAATTACACGTACAACGCGTTCTTAGCATCATCCCCTGTGTAATTTCTGAATTCGATTAATTCAAAGTTTAAATAATCTTCTTTTTTAGAGTTATTATTCTTATCTCAGTATCTACATAATAATTTAACAAAGAAAAAAATGCATACTGTATTAATATATACAATAGTAGCTCAAATTTGACTGTAACTAATCATATTATTGCTGCTAAAAATAAAATTAGCAAAAAGTCAATAATTTTTTAAAAATTGCTTTTATTTATTAATATAATAATTATATTAATTCCTAATTCATACTCTAATCATTTTATATTAAAATAAATTTTAGCCGCAGCTTTAACTTTCACGATTTATAATTTACGTACTGTAATAAATTAAAGAAAATTTTATACATACCTACTTACAGTACGTATGTACGTGCGTACGTACAGTACGTACCAGGTACGAATATCAGATCTACTGAAAATAAGAATAATACCAAGCATTATTATCTGTTATACGTATTTAGAACAAAGTTGTTGTTTTTCGGATTTCGCAGATCTTGTAGATCATACAATCAATAACTTTTTTTTGTCGGCCACAATGTACCATCTAAAAATTCCGAGTTGTAACTGTTGTGTAACACTTAATATTGCTGTATTGTGGCGTGGCGCAATAAAATGTAATAAAGAATATTTTTATCATTTTTGGAAAACAAAAAATTTTTTTTTAGAAAAAAAAATAAAATTATATGATGTTTTAACTTGTCATATAATTGTTTTTGTTTTTTTTTGATCTGCATTCATTTTAAGCATATATTAACAAAAGAAAACTGCAATTTCATGTATGTAAAAAACTACGCGTGGGATTTTTCTTTTTATAAACCAAACTTGGTTAACAGAAAGGTTTCTAGATTGTCGATCTCTGCATTTAAAATATTATATATTAATGTTAATACTACATATTTATTATGCTTTTTAAACCTGAACATGGAAAACCTATTACCCGAAAGGAAAACATGGTTCATAATTTTGATATATATGAGTTAGTTCGGATTATCCATTTACTTGAATATACAGTAATTCATATAATTATAAATTCTTAAACTTTTAAAACCATTGATGACGTTATTACATTACTGTATTATCTATTTATAACTTTTAAACAAAGTAGTACGCGTGTGTATCTTGTGGCTTGTCGTTTTTATCTTACGATATTTGTTATAATTAATGTATCAAGAATACATAGAAAATTCTATATTTTTTTTAAATAAAAAACAGACATTGTAACTATAATAAATCTAAAAATAATTATTATCTAATAATTTTTTTGTATAATTTTCCTAAACAAGAATAAAGCAAATGCAAAAGTAATTGTCAAGTCAAAAACTTATTTGTTCTTGCTTGAAATTGTAACTTGTTTCAAGATTAAAGTTTAAACATGAAACGGTTACAAACTCATGACTTAAGATAAATTTAAAGAAACTCGGCAAATATTATATCAATATGCTAAAAGAAAAATTCTTTAAAGTTATTAAACCATTATTTATACAAGGTTACAATATAACAAATTATGAGAAAAAAAAATCAAAAGTTGTATTTTTGCAGCAAATATATGTTATCCATATTCAAATAATATTCAAGTTATTCATCGTTATACAAACAATGTTGTACATTTATCTTTATCATTAAATTTCCCCCCTTTGCATTAAACCAATAATGAATAACCTAACCCTTCAATTCTTTAAATCTTTAAATCTTTAAACCTTTTAATCTTGAATCTTTCGGTCTTTCAATTTCAATCATCTAGTATCGTGAGTAACCAATTACTTCAAAGTATTGCGGAGTGTTGATGGTATCAGGAAGAGGTGGCAAAGACGGAGGAATAAGTGATTCCCTCATAATAATAGGTTTATTATGACAGCACATCGTTCCTGGTAAAATACTTCTAAACGTTGGATGTTCTCCATTATCAAACACTCCATTAATCATATAATTATTAGATGAATGTACTGTATGATGATTAAAATGATATGAATTCTCTGCCATATAATTATTAGATGGATGTATTGTATGATGATGATGATGATTAAAAGGTTGTGAATTCTCTGGAATATTTCTCTCTTTATCTCCATTCTCATTGTTCAACCAATTAATCATACTAGTAATCTTCATAGGATCAGATATTTCACAATCTGGTGTTCCACTAATAGGCGTAACCACTGGAGAATACGTATCCGTTTTACCAGAAAAATTTTGAATCGGTTGAAGTTGAAATGCATTAAATGGATTGGAAGGAAGTGCGAATATTATTTTTTGCTCCACTTCTTCTTTAAATTGATTGTCTTTAAATTGGTTGTCTCTAAATTGGTTACTCTTAAATTGATTGTCCTTAAATTGGTTATCATTTCTGATCTCTTGATTTTCTTCATGATTTTGTCTTACGTCTACTTGAATTTTTGGTAATGAATATTTGGAATTACCGACTTTAGGTGGTGAAGATACCCTACGTAAAGCACCACTCTTTGTAATTGCTGGATTTGGCATAATGTTCGATAATTCAACATAAGCTTGTGGTGGATATAGATCATCGTGATGACCTGTTAAAAAGTATTTCAGACATTTCAGGTAAATATATAAAAAATAATAATAAAGTAAAGAGAGTATCGTAAATTTCGATATTTTGATATTTCGATAGTGATAGTTCATTTATTTACCTTGCTTGTCTTCATATATGATCATATGTTGAACGCTACCTTCAACATTTGCCGAAATGGTTTTCTTTATTAAACCTTCATTATTATACACAAATGTACCTTTGTTGGACACGTGAAATTTTTTATTTTCTTTTTGAATACGCTCCTTGATATTTTCATCAAGATCTTCATATTTCTTAATGTGATTAAGACGCGACTCCAGCTCTTGATAGAGCAAAAAGTCCCCATAAATCCTACTTGGGGACCATAATCTACAATAAATAAAATATTGGCAAAATATAATGTTTAATAATAAATTATGTTAATTATTAATTATTAATCATTAATCATATCTATTTTCTTTGACTTACTTCCCGTCTGTCCAACGTTTGATTCCGGCTTCATTTTCATCATACACGAACCTTTAAAGAGAGAAAACGATTTATTTTTTTTTTGATAATATAAAAAACAATTCATGTAAAGTAAAATTTAAAACATGTCATCTTACACCGAACCAGGCGAGAGTAATTGTCTTTCTTCTTCAAGAGGGCGTCTAGATGTTTTCTGTAATATTCCGAGCCGACATGCTTCTGCAAATGTTTTTAATATATTAATATCACCGCAAGAATCATAAAGAATCATAAAGAACCATAAAGAATCATAAAAAATAACACGTTCAAAATAAACATAAGATATACCGAATATGATAAAGGCGTCTTTAGTATTCTCGATCAATCCTATTTATCGATTTTTTTTTTTCGTGAGAGTCACAAAAGCCACTCCTTTAAACTTTCTTTGGCATAAACGAACTCCTCATCAGTAAATCAAAAAGATAATTTATACTTTAAATATACTTTACCATGAAAGGTTTCCATGTTTTTTCCTTTTTTTTGAGAAAGAAACGTTGCACAATGAAAAAATGAAATAAAAAAACAAGAATAGACTATGTTTAACTCGAATAAAAAAAAAAAAAAAAAGATTAACGCGTCAATTATAAATAGCAAAAGTAAACGCGAGTTAAAAATTGATAAAAAAATTCATGGCTATTTATATAGATCACTTCTGATAATAAACTATTATAAAAATAAAGTATGACAACAAATAACTAGTGTAATTTATTAAGTTTATTTAAAACGAAAGAAAAATACATGAAGTCGATAGTAGTTTATAATGTCGCAAGTCTATAAATTATATACCGTCATTCTTTAATTTATTCTATCATATTAAAAGTATTACGGAGTTTAGAAAAAATCTTCAAAAAATCTTAAAATCAATTATTCAAATTTTCTAAAAGTATTATTACTCTTTGACTTTTTTTTCCTTTTGGTCTTGTGCCTGATTTATAACTTTATAATAGTTTATAAAAAAATCAAATTTTGTCGAATTATGTAAGGTCATTCTAACTTTTAGAAATCATTAAATCACATGAATAAACTTTCATGATCAAATATTCTCACGTTATTATTATATTTACGTCATTCAATTGATTTTTGTAATGATGCATTAAAAATTCTAGTTATTTTTTTAAAAAACTATAATACTATAATTTTTCAATTAAGAAAACTCGATACATTTAAGAAACTTGCGATAAAAAAACTCTGATATATTATAAAAAGGCAATTATATTTAATTAAGGTAAAAAGAGCTTAAATAGATTAAATATATTATATAAAATTTCGACTTTTACTAATTTTATTAAGATTTATTTTGTTAAAAAAAATAATAATATATATTTTTTTATCTAACAAGATTGTTATACTTATTAATAACAGGTAGTTATTAGTGAGATATTGGGCGAAAATTTTAATAAAAACATTTATACATATATCAATAATATTTAATAAAATATTTTTAAATAAATATAAAGTAGCTTTTATTAAGCATTGCTTGAAAATGTTATATTTTATAAAAATATATATATATAAAATTTAAATATATTATTAAATATTAAATATTTATTTTTGCTAAATTTAGGAAAATAAAAATATTATATACTAGTAAATATTAGAAATATAAAAAATATAACTATATATTTTATTAAGTTAGCTAGCATTATTTAAAGGATTTTTCTATATATCTCTAGCCTTTTTGGCCAATCAGAAGTTGAGAAAATCACATAATTAAAAGTTTATATGTTTATTCAATTGCTAATACAAGGTCAAATAATTACATCTTGCATTGCCAGATTCAGATAGATAAGTATAGAATATCTTTAATTAGTTTTTTTTTATAGTTTTTTTTTACTTTTGCTTTTATTTATTTTAGCTTGTTACTTTTTGTTATTGGTGTTTTTTTATATTGTTTTTTTTTTTGGTGTTAAGGTGACCTTTTTGGCCTGGGAACTTTTATTAGAGTATAAACAACAGTTTATAATATAATTACAATGATAGTACATCAAGCCATACATGCACTTTTGATGCCTAATTTAAGTAGTCTGGCTAAAGGTTCTATACTATCTATCATACTTGCACCTCAACTAGAGGGGTACCCATTTAAACAATCTGGTTACAACTACTTGCTGTTAGCTCTCTAACCCAGGATATTCCTTACTATACAGAAGTAGATTTTGGTATCTACCCTATGTGGATTTTGCACTTTACTTTAGGACTTATTAATTACAATTTTAATTTATCAATCCTTATCTTAAGACTAACTAACCATATATAGCTAAGATAAATCTAACAAAGCAATACATGTCCCATATATGTATTTACCTGCATGTTTCTATAACTTCTTTCTAATTAGTATATATTGATCTGTTATTCCATATATGTATCTCATACTACCTTTTAAGGTGCTGCTATTCTATAGATATTTCTCAAGTACTAACCTTTCTAATCAGATGCCTATTACATATTCATTGCCCTTATTTAGTTTACAACAATCTCGGTATCTATATTTGGACTGTCTTCTTACTTAGATTCTTTATTGGTTTCTTTCTTACTTATAGCTAGCAACTCAAAAAGATCAGTCTGTCTAGGCTTTAAGTGCTTCATAATTACTCTTCTCTTAGTTTATACTTTTCAAGCATATGCTCTTTTCCTCCAGTATGTTAGCTCGACAGCTTGGCTAGTGTATTCTCTACTTAAGAATCTAATTGCTCAGTTTTTCAATCTTAGGCTCTAGTTCAAATTCAGCCTTCCTGTAGTACTATAATAGATCATTGCTACCTTCAAACTTAGAACTTGCCAAATGGGTTTTCAGTTATTCCAGTTTCTCAAATTTATTGCACCAAAGCTCCTATAATTAGATAGTATAACTGAGATTACAGATTTGATTCTGGATTCAACTAATAACAATAATTGTTAACCATAGTACAGGCTATTTTCAAATATCATTATCTATGAGATTTGAACTCTAGACCTGCCACTTGGAGAAAGTGATAACTAGACCACTACACTAAGTCACCACACCTCCTTTTTTATTGTTTTTTTTTATTTTTGCTTTTGTTTATTTTATTTATTTATTTTAGCTTATTACTTTTTATTGTTAATACTATTATTAGTATAGCAGTAAATATTGTTGCTAGCTAGATTCTTATAAATTTAGTGTTTTTTAACAAAAAGTTCTCTGGTGATCTTGTGAAGTAGTTTTATGCTTTGCTGGCATTTTTTTTTTTTTTTTTGTATTAAAGTAAGGCCTTACTTATAACTTTATTACGTAATTTATATAAGTAGTTATATAAAAGCAATATAAAAACTAGATTTGTATATTAACAAATATTTATAAATTACATACAAGAATAAGAGCTTAAACTAGAAGCAAAAACTAGTTATTTGCAACCTAAATCTACTAAAGTGGCCAAGGCTCATTTAGATTTTAATAGTTAATATTAGATTTGTAAAAGTACTATGTTGTATTCACATTGTGGACTACTAATTAAATTTTTGTTGTGCTTGTTCTTTGGTAGAGCAGTTGTTATTCTCATTATTCTGTTGGTCTGGCAATCTACAAGAGTAGCTGTAAGTAGATTTTTCTTGTAGCTTACAATTTAAGCAGACATTGTTATTTGTAGTGGTTGAATCTGGTTTAAGAAAAATCCTGATATCTGAATATAATTTAGATACAATATTTGATTATCATAATTTATAATTAAATTAAAACTGGGTAACTTATATAATTAAATCAGATATTCAGATTTATATCTAGTATAATAAATTAATTATAATTTTTTTTTATAAGCATTAGATTAAATTAGTATCATAATTAAAGCTCACTATATGAAGTAATACATATATTAACACAAGGCTAATATAATAACATGTGCTTCTGATATAATTTAGCAAGTTCCAAAAAGTATTCTTTATATTAATCAAAATATATAGAATTAAGACTTTTATTTAATAAAGAAGTGGAATCTCAGTATGTTGTAAAGTAGTATAGTTATAATATTAAACCCTTACTATCATTAATGCGGCTTTGTAAAAAAAATCTGGTTGTAAAATTCAGATATAATCAATTTAGTAAGTTTGAAATCAGATAATATTCAGATAGATATTTTTTAAAGTAGATATCTATTCGATATCCATTTAGGTATCCAGATCTAACTACTAGTTATTTGTATAGCTGAACTATCTTTATTGTAAGAAGGTGTTATATTTGCTTTTTCCACTTTGCAAATCTTTCACAGTAAGATTTTCAAATTTGTTTATAAACTTCAATAGATATATATAGTAGTATTTAAGTTGTAATATTAGCAGCTTCTTTGTACTATATATCTAGTGTCTAAAGTGATTATAATAAGTGAGATGAAATAAAACCTTTTATAGTAATAGATAGTAGGTGTGAAGTGAGGTAAATGAAGGAGAGTATTTAAAAGAGAAATGAAATTTAATTAAATCTGCTATAGCTTTGCATTGTATTAGTATCAAGTTGGCTAAACATTTTGTAATTATTGCAATGATAGAGTTATGGATGATTTAATTAAGAGTTAGTGAGCTATAACAGGTGAGCCAGTAAATAGGTGAGTCAAAGAATTACAAAAGAAGCAAGTAGTAGCTTGAAAGATTCTAGGTGTAATTAAGTGAAAGTAAAAATGTATTGGCAGATTATTAAGCATGTTTTTGATTCTAAATACTTTCATGCAACTTAGCTTGGGGATGTAATATTGAATGTAGTCTTTTGGTTATTGTTTAAATAATGCCAAGTTTCAGTTGATTGATTGGGTATAGTTCTTCTATCCTGTGTTATGTTTTTGTAAGGACCATAATGCAATTGTATATACTATAGTAAAAATATAATAAAACTTATAATAAAAATTTAAATATAACAAATTTTAAATATTTTTTATATAATTAAAGTTTTAGTTTATAAAATTTATTAATAAATTTATTAGTATAATTATTTTTAATAGTATACTACTAGTAGTACAAAAAAATTTGCTAAAATTGCAATTTAAAAAAAATTATTTCTCAACAATCTTATTAATAATATTAAAATAAATTAATTTCTGTAATACTATAGTATTTATTGGATTTTTTGATATAAAAAGTTTTTTAAAAAATATTTTTTTTAGATTTTTTAGAGTATTTAATAATGCACTACAAAGGCTTAAATCCTATCTATTAAATAAAGATTATAAATTTAGTTTTTTTTTAAATAATTTGAAAATATTTAATAAATTATATAATTATTGCATTTAAATATATTTCTAATTATTAATATTTTTTTATTTAATTTATTTCAATTTATTTCACAATATCTCGAAATATTTTATAATAATTTTAATTAATTTAAATTTTTCTTATTTATTATTTTTTAGTTTATAAATAGTTTGTGGTTTTGATGCTTTTTACCACTATTTCAAATTGTTTTGAATTATTTCTAAACATTTTAAATATTTTTTCATAATATTAAAAAATAAATTTCATAATAC